CGAACGAACCCCACCCCCCCCCCCCCCCCCACTTCGCCTGGATGCACATCCCGGGGCTTTATGCCTGCATGCTTATCGGCAGCGTGGAAGGCAGCTGGTCCGTCCGCCCCGCATCCTGACAAATATATGTTTTCGTTTGTTTTCGTTCTTGGCATTGCCTCTCTTCACACCGAAGAGAGTATCCAGGGCTTACAGGACAGCAGAAGATCCTCTGCGACGAAGGCTGGAAATAGTCGGCCAAGCAGGGCCGTCGACGGTCTCGGCCGGATTCCCACTCCCATGTGCGACTGACCATAGACAGCGGGAAGTAGCAAGGCGGAAGGTTTCAGCCTGTATGTAGCTCCGTCACCACGTCAGTCTTATCATCCTTCAGTACAATGCCGCCTGGGGCGGATACCGTGACGTTGTGGATACTACTTCTCCGTTGAGCTTTCGCTATGTCTGCAAAGTTCTTGCCCGGCCCTCCCCGGCCGTGGACTTGCCGTCCAACGGGGTTCATATCTCACTGCCGTCCTGCCGGCATTGGGGAGGGCAGGATGGCACTGGATCAGTCGCTTTCCCCTTCGGACAATACCCATGAGAGAACCCTCGCCCCCACTTCCTCTGCCGTCTTGGACGCACACAGCACATACACACAGGCAACAAACATTCCCGTTCTTGGCTAGTTCGATGCCGGACCAGCCCCGCCGGGCTACCTGTCAAACTAGCTAGCTTAAACAGACGGGCAACACACTGACGTCTGGACGCTCTGCCGCCGAGAGAGACCCCGCGGGTCCCTGGCCCTGTGCGTTCCGGTTGGCCTGGATACGTTCGTTCCGTTCTTCGAGAACAAAGAACCAACAGGTCCCAAGGGGACTAAACCCGTCCAAGTAGGGTCCTCTAGGAGCCACTGATGACAGCAGCCCCTTGTACCCGCTCGCCCGGACCGGCAGGGGAAGAGCAAACCCCAAAGCGCCACATCGCCATGTGCCGATCTGCTTCGGGCGAGTTGGGCTGGAGATGAATACTCCCTTTTTTTCTTCTCTTTCTGTTGTTTCCCACACACCCCATATCCAGAGGCCCCATCCCCCGTTCATGCATCCGACCCTGGTTATCGCCAACACTTGAGTGGCCCGAACTAATGCGGTCCTGCCTTTTTTGCTCATCAGTACAGCTCACACACCGCCCGATATGCTTCTGCCCAAAGAAAAGAAAAGAAACCAAGCCACAGCCCTTCCTACCAGGCTAGCTCACCGGCTTTTGCTCCCCTAGTCCGGCCGGGGCTGACATTCCTTTTTCTCGGGACCGTGCAACTGTGGCTTTCTTTTGTTTCCCCTTTCGGTCGACGCCTTCTTCTGTGCCACCTCAAGCGGACAGCAGAAAGCATTGATGGCTTCCGGCCGACATTGCCCGCATGATGTGGTGGGATTCGCCCTGTTTTCTTATGGTGTCTGGTTGGTCGAGAGTTTGACCGTTCCTTTTTCTTTTTGCCTTCCCCAACCGCCACATCATCCCTTTTTTTTCCCCGTGGAGACGGGCCTTGCGGTCTGGCGGCGGATCGCCTTGCCTCTGTATGCACCGGCCGGCATCCCCACACCCCTTCCTCTCCCTCTGGAGAGGCTCTCGTGTTTGCTTCCCCCGTGGACGTGGTTGTGTCTTGTTGTTGACGAGACGACGTGGTTAGCGCAGCTCTCCCCACGTCCTTTCTCTAGTCCTCACATTTCTGCTGACGAGCCTGTAAGTAAGGGAAGGGATGGGGCCCCTGTTGAGCCGCAAAGTGACGAGATGAAGTGTCGGAGCAAACCCATTCCCATTCGGTAAAACACCCCACTCCCTTGGTTTTTTTTCCCTCCTTTTTCTTTTTTGGTCTCTCACAACTCTCCTGATGCCTTCCCACCTCCCTCGTCCGATGGCGTTCCAGACCGCCTCCGACTCCCCAACCCAACCCGACTCCCCCCTGTCACACACAGCCTATACTCGGAAGCGACTGCTGGGCGTTGTCGGGGTGCCGTGACGTGACACGCTGCTAACCCCAACCTGACTGACTCCTCCTCCTCCCCAAGGTCCGCACGCCGAGTTCTACATATCCTGAGACAATCGTGCATGGCCAAACACGGCCTCTGGTTGGCTCGCCGGGGACCTCTCGCACCCCGAAGGCCCAGTCCCGTTCAACTGGAGCCACACATCCTGCCCCCCTCCCGCCAACCACCCCGGGAAGTGGTACGTAAGTCGAAGTCGTAGGGTCCGTAGGCTGTATGGCGCGGGTGGGGTTGAGAAAGTTGGGAGGAAAAACATAAGACGGCCTCGACTTTCCTTTCGGGGAGGGTCGATGTGAGTGTCTGAGCTGTCCTTTGTTTGGTTTTTTGCTTCGTTTTGCTTCTTACTTGGTGTTTCTCTCTATACTGCATGTTTCGACGTCACCGACACGGCTCCCACACACAAAAAGCCAACACAACACACACCACATGGTCCATGCTCCTGCCAGGCCAATTTGGGGTTGGCCGGGGATAGCAACGAGCGGTTGGTTATATGGCTTGCGCTGTCAGAGGGAGGAGGCCGCACCAACCCGACGACAACGACAACGACTGCCAACGCTTTGGTATGTTCGGGAAGTAGAACCGAGTTTCGACACGGGAAGAGCCAGACTGAAGACAGCCAAGCCGACCGTCGGAAAGCTCTGTCCCTGGTGCTTGACGCGCCCCTGCTTCTGCCTTCCCGCACGACTGCATCGCCCCATCGCCCGCACGGCTTCTTGTTTCTTTGCCCGTGGCTGCTGGCTATCCCTCCTTCTTTTTTCCCCCTTCCCCCCTGCTTGGCTCGCTTTCACAAGCTCGGGGCGGGGGCTCCTGTCAGACCCTCTCTCTCACCCTCACTCTCTCCCCACTCTCGGACGCGAGGCCGCCGCAACGCACGCACAAGCAAAACGCACACGCCGGACGCAAACGCACGGGAGAAACAAAGGAAAGAAACGACCAAAACGCTCCCCCTCCCTCCCTGTTGTCTGGTCCTGCCGCCGCACGGGTGTGCCGTCAAGGGTCCCGCGGATCGATCAGCTGGGGAAGGGGGCTCCTCGGGGTTACGAGGCACAACGTCCGTCGGCGCTACGACTTTCGGCTCGGAGCGTCCAGGGACCCCAACACTGCCCCCCGTCGCCGCCATCGCCAGTCATCTCGGGAGACGCGCAGGTCGGCCGGCCATATGGTGCCTGCCCTTTAGTGGCCGGCCCACTTCACTTGGACACAGACTGCGCCATAGCCTTCACTCAAGTTCCCATGGAATACGATGTCGGAGCCTTCCGGATCTACAAAGGCACGCTATTTCGGTTGGGGGCCTCTGCCAAGGAAATCTTGGCGTCCTGGGCAAGATCACTAGCCAGCCGGGTAACATCGCATCTTCACTTTTTCGGTTGCTGCTTTTTCGACTATACTCATTTGGATGCTAGGTCACTCCATTTGACGAGTTGCCATTACAATAACCAGTACGACAAACCCCCACGTTCTTATCGTATTTCTTCAGTGTCAATCATGTCCGCCCAGCCTCTGTCTCCCGATTGCAAGACGAGTGTCTTGTCAAGCGTTTTCCGTGAATTTTATCCTCGAGACACCCTCACCACTTGTCAGAATCCGTTTTGGGGACATGGCAACGTTTTGACATTAATCTCATCATGACGGCCAAGACGTATACGGGAGGAGAGCCTGACTATGGAAGCCAACGAGAAGGGAGAAAAATCTGCCAAGCGGTTTCCATCGAGTGATACCATCCCCCAGATGTTCGCACCCAACAAAGCACCAAAATCAACAAACTGGTACAGAGCAGAGTCGCGGAGATTTACCAGGAAAATGGCCAGATGCACAAGATTGACCAAGTAGTCTCAGTCTTGACAGGAACGCTGCATTTCGCGCGTCTCTTCTTTCCCATTACACAACACCCCCAGTTCTGTTACCCATGCCGTAAAATTTTTATTTTATTTTTAAAAAAAAGCAACGCCTGGGGATCGTCAGTAAGGACGATCGACTAAACTCCATAAAGCAAGGAGCTGACACTCGTACAGGATAGTTTGAAAGAATTAATGTTAAAAAAAAAAAGTAAACACAGGAAAGGTTTCGAAGCACGGTCTCCCGAACAATCCCGAACCCGACCGATCAAGGACGGCACAAGGTGGGAAGCGGCGGCTTCTATTAAGCACCATCCGACCAGAAGGTATTGAGAAGGCCTCAAAAGCTCAGGTCCCGGACGGCGCGGTGCCTGCGGGGGGCGACGATGGGGGTGTACATGGCGCCGTTGTAGACGGTGTCGGGCACGGTGACGAAGCCCGTGGTGTCGAGCGGGTTGGCCATGTTGCCGGCGGCGTTACCAGATAGCGGGCGGCCCTGCTTCTGGCAGGCGGCCGTGTGGTCTGACGGGAAGGTCTTGCCGCGCAGGCGCTCAGGGGCCTCGATGATGGTGGCCGTCAGGCCCATCTCGACGTGCCACTCGATGTGGCAGTGGAACAGGAAGACGCCCGGGTTGTTGGCCTTGAAGCGCAGGACGGCGTACGAGTTGGCGTTGACGTGCACCACGTCGCGCATAGGGGGCTTCTTGTTGAAGCCGTGCGACCGGCCCTGCCAGACACCGGCGTTGTGCCCCGGGCGCTCCAGCACCTGGAAGTGGTGGCCGTGCAGGTGGAAGGGGTGGATGGCAGCGTCGATGTTGTTGACGACGATGTCGACAACCCGGCCGTAGGGCACAATGAAGGGCAGGACCTGGCCGTAGACCAGCGGGTTGGTGTTGTGCTCGCCCACGGTGGCGGCCGTGTACAGGACGGGGGTCTTTTGCGGGATGTAGGTCTGGTTGTTGAAGCAGGCGCGCGGGTAGCCGTTGACGTCGCGGCAGAAGGTGAAGTCCAGCTTGATGACCTGGTCCGGGTTGGGCAGGATGTCGGCGTCGTTGTAGGGCTTCAGGTGGGCGTCGTTGTGGGGATTCCACTTGGGGACGCTGAACTGGGTCAGGGCCTTCTGCGAGTCCATGACGAGGTGGCCGGTGAAGTTGAGGGGCCAGGTCGGGTTGAGCTCAAAGTCCCGGTTCTGGTCGAGCGAGAAGAAGATGGGGTAGTTGCGGTGGTCGCGCTCGATGCAGCTGATGAGCACGTCGAACCGCTGCGAGGGCGAGATGCGGATCTGGTAGGCCTGCTCCTGCTTGACGTAGGCGCCGTCGTTCATGATGATCTCCATGGTGTGCGAGTCGAACTGCAACATGGCTGAGGCGAAGGCTCCGAAGTTGATGACGCGGAACCGGTACGTCTTGCCCTTGACAAAATTGTACTTGCCATCGCCGCCCTCGTTCACAATGATGCTGTTGGGGAAGGGAGGCGCGAAGCGAGTGTTGGAAGGCGACAGCATGTTGCGGACCAGCGCCAGAGTCTCGGAGTGGTACCTTTGGAGCCGCAATGTTAGCTGCATCACATGACGGTTTTCGAGACTGCGGAGCATGTTCAAACTTACCAGTCAGAGACGGACAGGATGACCTCCTCATCGTACTTGCCCTTGTACGGATCGTTCGGGTCGTCGATGATGAGCGGGCCGCGCAGGCCGTCAGGGTACTGACCCATAGTGTGCGAGTGATCTAGCAGGGGGAGCTCATGTTAGTCAGGGCACTTCTGCACGCGTCCGATCAATCAGGGGAAGAAGCACTTACACCAATATGTGCCGGGAGCATCAGCCTATCGTGAATAACCGTATCGAGTTAGCCCTTGACCGTTGACACCATACCAAACAGGCATCGCGAGGTCTGGTAGATACTTACCACAAACTGATAGGTCAGGGTGTCTCCAGGCGGCAGGGGGCACTGGGTGACGCCCGAGGCGCCGTCCATCTCGTTGGTCGCGATCTGGTTGATGCCATGGAAATGCAGACCGGTGGTCTGGTTGCCCAGGTTGTTCTTTATCTTGACAACGACCGTGTCGCCGACGGCGGCACGGATGGGGGGGCAGGGCCACTTGTTGTTGACGCCGATGACGGGACGCGAGAAGCCGTCAGGGGCCGCCCGGACCCAGTCGATGGTCCAGTCGTACGTGACAGTTGCGGCGCTAACCACGGCCCCCAGGCCAGAGAGGCCCAGAGTAGCAAGGGAGGACACACGCATGGCTGCGGTGTGGACAGTGGGTGGGTATGAAGAACTAGAAATTACTAGGGGGGACGATCAGGGCAACGAGAAGAGAACCAGCGAAGGGACGCGAGGCCTGTGTCAAGCGAGCGGACACGAGGCAACCCGGACTAAACGTCAACCAGGGAGGTGGTGGAAGACAGGGAAACCCAGAAGGGGGAGGAGAAACCTTTGCGACTGCACGAGTGCCGATCTCTCTAACCATGATGCATTTCGGGCGGGGAGAAGGCACGTTTATAACGACGTTTCGATGGTCGGCTATTTTTTTTTCTTCCCATGCTCGACGAGCTGGATGCCAAGCCAATGGACCGCGAGCCTACCCACAGGCAGGTGAGACTCAGCAAAGAGCACACAGGCTGCCAAGATTCAGTACCATGTCGGGCTAGTAGCATCCATGTCCTTGGGGTTGGAAGGGCAAGAGCGCAGGAGGACCGCCCGAGCCTCCTCGCTGGCCCAGGCCTGGGCTGCGGAAGAGCCTGTGGGGCTTGAGGCTGAGATGACAGGAGTGGTGGTGTGAGCTGTGAGCTGTGTGAATCCTTGGGCCAAGGTTGCAACAGCCTCTATTGTGTGGCTGCAGGACGGATGTCCGTTTTCTGACCTGCACCGCGTGGGCCGACGCTCGTATTGGCTGTCCCGTCAAGCGAGCGCCTGACCCCCTCTCGGCTGTGCTGGCCTGAACGTGGGCGTGCTGGGGCGCGGATGTCTCCGAGGCCTATCCCGACTTCCACCTCAGGGGCTCAGGCATGACCTCTTGATCGGTGTGCCTGCGCTTGCTGGCCGCCAAGTATCCAAGGCCCAGAAGCCGCTGCTATTATCTTGGCCAACCCGTTGTGGCCAGCTGGCTAGCTTCTCACGAACAGGTCGACATAGACTATTTTGGGGAGAAGAGGCAGAGGCTTAGTGCCGCTGGTAGAGCTGACGGAGGAACGGAGGCAGAGGGAGAGTTTCGGGGGAGGGTCTCTCGGCTGACAGTCACTTCTCTGCTCTTTTCCTGGTGCTGCCCAGGTACTCCGGCCTATACCAGGAGGGCGGAGCATGGCCCTAGAAGCCAGCAGGCATCGATCGCATCGGAACCGAACCGCTTCTAGCGATAGTCGGTCGATGTATGCACACAATGGAACCTGATGCGGAAAGATGTTCTGGGCTGACGGCCACTGAGCAACAACAAAACAGACGAGCCTGCATGCAGTTGCTACCCCGGCAGGGGTCAGGCGCTCTCAGTGGCTGGAATATTATGGCTCTTGCGCATATGGAAAGAAAATGTCTCGATGTCGTCGAGTCACCGCCTCCCTTGCCGAACAAGCACATGTAAGATGCAAAAAGCAAAGAAGCGAGAACTAAGACAAAGAGGCTTGCTTGACAAGAGGCGGTGCGTGCATGCGCGCGCACGCTTGTTGCGCGATGAGCTAAACCGGAAAGCGAGCCTTGGGGCCCTGTCACTTGGGGCTGGGGAGGGCTGGTGGCGCTTGCGTGGGGATATTTGCAGTCTCAGGTTCTCCTTGCTTCTGCATCTCATCTTTTCCCGATCCGTAGCATGCCTAGCCCGCCGTTTTTTCTTTCTGTCCTGAACCAGTGCTGGCGCTCCGAACATGGATGTGCCTGGTAGAGAAATGTGCACGCGATAGGTGCTTGCCAGGCACTTGGCTACCTAGGTAAAGGGGTGAAGAGCGACAGACCTCATGCGGGTAAGCTTATCGTCGAGGAAATGAGCTGGCGTGCGATTGGAATGGGGATCTGCGGCCATGGCGTTGGACTCCCAATGAACTAGCACCGGGGCGGAGGCCTGGCAACTAGCGTTAGTTGGCTGGGCACGAGCCTTGATGTCAAGTCAGAGGTGGAATCTGGACGTAGCGCTCGTTTGCTGTTGCACCAGCACGATGGATGCATTGTCAGAGCGGGCTGTGGGGAAGAGGGGGCCATCGTGGGTGTCCTCGCGCGGTGAAGCAAAGCGGCAAGTTCCTATCAAAGCTGTCGAGATCGTGGGGTGCAACATGCAGTGGTGGCGGTGGCTTTTTCTTTCGCTGAGATTGAACTTTGAAGTTAGCCCGAAGAGTTGAGGTTGATTGAGTCTGGCGGATGCCACGTCGTGCCCGCCGGCTGAACGATCGGACACGCAGCCCAAAAATAGCCCCGCGCCCTGGCGAATGAACTGGAAAGAAAAGAATGGCCCAAAACGGCAACAGTCGGCGACCAAAACCTGAGCCAACCAATGAGGCCGCGACAGGGCCCGATCGCGGGCTCTCCCTGTGTCTTGTTCGTTCTTTCCTCAATCAAGAAGAGACCACCAGGGGCAAGACCACCCCAGCATTGGACCTGCCCCAGGGCCTGCCGTCATAGGTTCTTACCTTCTCTACAGTTCCCAGTGGTCCCAGTGGTCCCAGTGGTCCACCCCAAAGTCTGGGGCGCCCCTTACAACGCGAGCCTTTGTCCGGCACTATTGGGAGCCAAATACCGAGCTCCAATCACCGCCAAACTCGCCCACCACCCTCCCAGTGTCTCCCCAGCCCTGTGCGCCGTGGCCAAGACGCGCCAAGGCAGCAATGCAGCCCGGGTCCGAAGCCTCGGGCTGATGCTTGTTGCTTGCTTCTCTCACACCCCTCCCCCCCTCTTGGCTGCCGGCCCCTCGCCAAGGTCTCTGCAGCGGCTGCAGAAGCGTGCATCCTCTTGCTGCACAAACCCTGCAGCCTCGCTGCAGCCTGCATTGCACACTGCACTTTCGCCCAACTCGGGATGTTCTGGCAGTGGGCATGTGGGCTCGGTCCTGGCTTTGGTTCTGGCCTGGGACACAGCCTCGGTTCCTTTCCTGTCTTGGGCCGCCGTTTGGTTTGAAACGAGACTGGAAAGCAGGTAAGAAAAGAAGCAGAAAATACAAAAGTTCAAGGGCAGCCAACCGTCTATCAGCGCTTCCAAAAATCACGCCCCCACTTCCCGTTCCTCCATCACGTGGCGGGTACCTAGGCCGGAAAACACGAGGGGGCCTTACCCGGATAGGTAGTAGGCTAGGTGGGATTTGGGTGTTCCTGGCCCGCCGCCCTAAACGCCACCGCCGGGCGGGCGACTCGACCGGGCACCCGAGCCTCCGAGAGGAAAAAGACTCATCGAACTATCGATTCACAGAGACGGCCACTCGCATCGTGCTCGCGCCGGAATGGCATCGCCGCCGGCCAAGAGGGGGAAGGCGTGGAGCTAGGGAGAGGAGGGAGGCAGCGCAGGCATGACAGCACCATCGTGCAGAAGACGCCCAGTCACGGCGGCCAGCAGACTGAGAGATAACAAGGAGCAGAGTGGTGGCGATGATCACTTGCCAACAGCAGAAGCTGCTGCTGCTGCTGCTGCGGCTGGCTCACCGTCGCGGGCGCCCGCTGGCTGCATAGTGCATGCAGCAGGCTTGGCGCTGCTCTCTGCAACCATCTGCATGCTTTCGCTCTCCACTGCTCACTGCGTCGTTCGATGACCACGGCCGTGGGCACACGTTGGCAGAGATCGCCCGCCTAGGTATTTTTTTTTTTTTTGTCGTCCCGCCACGCCGAGCCGCTCCAGTCCAGCGCCCGGATTAGTGCCATTTATTTCCCACCACAACCCAGCTGCAATGCGCGGGCCGGCGTGACGGAATAGGTGGTGTGAAGAGAGGGTCCGACTAGCTAGCCTGCCTGCTCCAGCGGCGAGCGAGACAAGAGCCCGCGCGTGCCGGTTTTGCGGTTGTTGTTGTTGTCCTGGCGGAAAAGCCGCTAGGCCCCCCGGCCGGACCTGGCGCTAACAGCGTCCAGAGGAAGCGCCAACGCATTCTTGCATTCTTACGTACAGAGGGCTCTGCATGTTCTCCATTGCCACCCATCAGCACCGTCGGGACCGTTGTGATGCGAGAATTTCGTGGGTTCGCTCGCCGCTGCTGACCGGGCTGGATAGCTACCTGCAGCCGAGACAACCCTCCGTTCTTCAATATTCCCGAATCTTGCATGGGGACGTGGGTCAAAGTACTCCTCTCATGTGAAAATGCCAGGCCAAGACCGGTGAGCCGTTGGCGAGAGAGGGGGGATGGGGGCGGCGTGTAGAACACGGAAGAGATAAGCGGAGGAAGAACAAGCTTCTAATGCAATAGAAAGATAACTGGGCAATGACAAGATCGAAAGTCTCAAGGTGGGTTGACTCGAGTGTTCATTCCCATCCTGGTGTTTTCACCCAAGCTCAATCAAGTTCAGTTGCTGTGCTGTGCCGTACCGCAACAGCTTGGCTATGAGGCTGATGAGAGAATGTGCTGCAACTCACCAACTCAATGCTACAGTTGGATTCTATCCCGGGTGCTACCGTGCCATCCGACCGTGCAGGTGCCGACTTGGAAGAGCTTGGCTTGTAACCTCTTCTCCCTCTCCCCACCAAATCGATCGGATTAACTGGACTGGGCTGTATCAATTGTTTGCCCACACAAGAGAGCCACTTGCAGAGCCAATTCACAATAGATTGCCTTCACACCACCGCCAGAAGTCCCGATGAAATAAACGCCTTTTCCGATATGCGTACTTACACAGCCTACGCGGGGGAAGCACCGCATGCACATCACATGGTCCTGATGACTGGGCAACCACACCCCTTTTTTCCTTCTCTCTCTCTCTCTCTCTCTCATTTCTGCCCATATCCTTGCCTCCATGCCATCTCGCCTTGTGCTTTGTGCTTCCCCAACTAAGCAGGTATTCCCACTGCATCGTGTAACCCCACGCCGGTCCCGAGCCCCTGGTACCACGGCATATCTGGGACGGGCTGCAGACGTCACAGGACCCTCGTAGACGCTCGTCATTCCGCACCGTATCTGATGAATTGAGGGCTCGTGCGACCAAAGCCTGCGGCCACCCGTGATGAGGTCTGCTTTAGTGGCGGTGCCGCGTGGACGTGAAAGGATGAAGCGAGCGTGAATGCATGTGGCAGTTGTTGAAAGGGGGGGTCGCACGAAAACGCCGTCTGCTTAGTTTCCGCCATCTGCAGCTCTTCTGCATTGCTAAAGGAGCCTACATGCTGTGTATCTGTTGAGGTCGTTTTCTCTCTTGCGCCCTCGTCCTGGGGGAGGGAAACACGGCATATCAGCCACCTGCTCTCTCTCTCGGCAGACAGCAAGCTCGGTCACTGACTTGCTGCGGCCGTTCCGATGTTTTATATTCTTGGTCTGCAGCCATGTAGTAATGGTTGCAGGTAGCTTCCAGAGCCGCTCTGATATCAGAAATGTGCCGCGATTCACCCAGTGCCTGGCCCTCGCCGGCTTTGGATGAAGCCCCGAACGAAGTCACAGGGCACCATGGTGCAAAGGGCCGAAGCTCCAGGTTAGAGAGCCCACGTCGACTCGATCACGAGGGACATTTGCCGCTCGGGAGATTATAGGCGCCCTTATGACGCCAGTCATGAGGCCTCCCCAAGTTGTCGTGTAGGAATGGCCTAGCCTCCACATGATTTCTCGCCGTGCCTCCTATTCCGTGAGTTCCCAAGTAAAAAATGGAGCTGGGACAGCCTTTATTGCCGGGTCATCTCCCTCGTGCAACATACAAGCCCAGCTGGACAGCCCCTGAAAGCCCCCGTGTGCAACCGACCTGGTTTCTCCATGTCAGCTCACACAGAAAGGGGGAGGCTTGGACAATTAGTGGACATTCATGCCTACTGTAAATTGGTGTACGCAAAAAAGGGGCTTTCTCAATGGGCTGTATCCCTGGGAAGGTCTGCTGGATATAAGCACGTATACTGGTTACATATCTGCTCTTGGCCTATGATCAGAGATACACGTAGAATTAAGCCGACGCTAGCGCTCTTCACGCTCTGAGGCAATAAATGTTGTGTGCCTGCCTGGTATTGCTAAAGGGATAGGTAGCTCGCCGGTCACACTGCTACGTGATGTGACTTCGGCTGGGCAGTCCAACAGTTGGGCTTTCGACATCAGGTAAGATTTTGATAGAGCGACTTTCCTAAGTCTAGAAGTTATCCGTCTCTTCTCCAGAACACTAGCTAGCCAAGCCCTGATCGATATCAAATATACTATATAGCAGCACGCTCTGCAATTTTCACGAGGAGAGCAGTTACGGGCTGGGGGGAGCCAAGTTTCAGGCAAAAACTGTGTCTATGATTTACTTCCTGCCTTTGCCGGCGGAATCGACAACAAACAAGTCACACACTCATGCAAACACAAATAGAGATGAACGAACAAATGCAAGTCAACGTGTAACCGCGGATGGGGCTCTAGGAGCAACAAGCATATCAACGTCCAACAGTGGGAAGCTTCTCCTGAGAGCGATGCCTAGATAACGCCAAGGAGATTTGAGATGTCAAAAGAAAAACGCCGGCTTTTTTTCCATGCAGCCGTGACAAAAATCCCCGCCCCAAGTCGTCCATCCCCCCCATCAGTTCTGCAGCGAGGCCGCGACCAGCTTGAGCACATCCTCGACCGACTTCCTCGCGTTCCGGGGGTCCTTGGCGACGGCCTGCCAGCGCTCGCCGTGGCGCGGGTCGTTGGAGACGCACTTTGCCACCACGTCCACACGCTTCTCGTCGGTGCCGTGCTGCATCAGGAAGCGGTAGTACCACGCCCACGAGTCGCCCACGTCGGCGTCAAGCACGAGCGCCTTTTCGAACCACGACTGCGCCCGCTCCAGCTTGCGCTCGCCCCAGAAGATGCGGGCCACGGCCACGAACAGGCCCGCGTCGTTCTCCACCTGCTTGATGGCCTCGAGGCTGAGCGGCTTGCGCTGCGTCCGCGGCTCCAGGTGCCAGATGCGCTCACTCCACAGCAGCCCGCTCTTGGGCATCTGCCGCAGCGCCGTCGCCATCAGGTTCTTGGCCTGCGCCAGGTTGCCCGCCCGCCGCTCCACCCGGATCAGCTCGCACCAGAGCTCGGGCGACTTGGGCGCCGCCTGCCGCGCCCGGTCCAGCACGCTGCGCGCCTTGACCACGTTGCCCGTGCGCTCCTCGAGCCGCGAGTAGAGCAGCCACAGCGGAACCGACGTCGGCACCGCCTTGACTCCCGTGCCATATGCCTCCCTGGCCTGCGGTACCTTTCCCAGGTCCTCGTAGATCTGGCCCTTCATCATCCACAGCTTTGGCGCCGCCGGGAACAGCTGCAGGGCTTCTAGCACCTGCTCCAGTGCGGCGTCGTTGTTGCCCAGCTGCCGCTCGTAGGCCACGCTCCGCATCCAGACCCGGTCCGTCGGCGCGTTCTGTCGTGCTGTGCACAGGAGCTTCTGGGCTTGCTCGACCTCGTCGTGGTCTGCCTCCAGCTTGACCGCCGCCAGCCAGATGTCCTCGTTATTCTGATTCTGCTGGAATGCCCGGCCCAGCACGAGTCGTGCCTCGTGCAGCTGCCCGGCCAGCAGCCGCTCCTTGGCCAGCATCATCCACAGCACCTCGCTGTGCGGGCAAGCCTCCACCGCCTTCTCTAGTACCTGGTATAACGCCTCCTTGGTCCCGTGATTCCGTTCCAGGTCTACCGCGGCAAGCCACAGTGTCTTGCTTGTGACAAAAACGCGCAGGGCATAGGCGTATATGGCCCGCGCCGTCGCGAACCTGTCCCGGTTGGTGCTGGCCCGCGCATCCTCCATCCATGTCTCCTTGCGGTCGTCGTCCTCGTCCAGCCCCCAGCCAAGCGTTTGCTCAATGATGTCCTTGCAAGTCGCCACGGCTCCCTCTTCCTCGCACTTCTCCGCTTCGGCGATCCACTCTTCCCGCTTGGGCATAGCAGACACCTGTGCCAGTTTGGCGACGGCATTCTTCATGATGGTGACGGTTCCGTCCGTCTGCTCCTGCAGGCGGGCGGCGGCGATCCAGATCTCGTGCGAGGTAGGGATGGCCTTGCGTGCCTTGTTCAGTACAGCCCTAGCACCGTTGACAGTCTCGAGGCGGGCCAAAGCGAGCCAAAGGTCGGTCGAGGCGGGGATCAGCTCGGTGGCCTTGGCCAACAACAGACGCGCGTTATCCGGGTCTTCCTCCAAGTTGACCGCCTCTTTCCACAGCGCTTCCGATTCAGGGATGTGATCTAGCGCGCGCCGGATCACTCTTTTCTTGGACATGGGGTCCGATTCGAGCTTCATGGCCTCAACCCAGAGCCTAACGGACAGCATATTGGCCTTGATAGCTTCTGCGGCGATGATCTTGGCGTTGCGGCCCTCGTTCAGCCTGATATTCTCAAGCCAGAGATCCTCGCTCTTAGGACATTGTTTGCAGCCCCGCGCGACGAGATTCCTCGCCGCGCCAAACTTTCCTGCCAGCTCCTCCACGCGGGACGCGGCGATCCACCCAGGGGCGTTTGTCGGGTTCGACTCTGTTGCAGACTTTAGGAGTTTCCGCGCAAACTCGACGTCCCCCACGCTGACCTGCTCGGCGGATTCCAACTTGTTCAACGAGGTGAGATAGCCTTTGGGGTCGACGGTGCTCGCCGTGCCAACCGAGCTGGCCAGTCCGCTGGCCTGCGAAGCCTGGTCGAGCCTAGACTGAAGGACTTTGTCCCGCGCGGCACCGATCTTGGCAAAGTTTGTCACTGTGCCGTCGCCGTTGGAGGAGCTAGCGCCAGCGCCGTCGTCGCCGACTGTAGTCGTCATCTCGGTCGAGTCGCGCGCGGCGGCCAGGACGCTGTCGGGCACGGCGTAGAAGCGCTGGTGGGCGGCCGTCCGGGCGCGCTTGTTCTTGCCTGTGAAGTCCTTGGCCTCGGGGAGGTTCGCCCACTCGTCGTCGGTCACGCTGCCGAGGGCGCGCTTGAGGTCCGCAAACTGGTGCTGGATCTTGGGGTTTTTGCGCTCATACTCTTCCCTCTCGGCTTGCTCGCGAGCTTCCCTATTCGTCAGACGGCTCTGGTTGGTAATCTGTTTATCTAGTGGTACATTCGATAAACCATGTGATTGTGCCACGAAGCCCGGCAATGAAGGGTGGAGAGACACTAGGTGTGCGCGCTGATGGGCTGGAGGGGTCAACTAACCTCTGCTTCTGTCGGCGCTTGGCCATTTTGTCGTCCACGCTCTTCCATATTCGATCTGCCTCCTCGTCATCCTTGTCGTAGATACCGCCCGAGAACAGCCCAGTCTCGTTGTCGGGGTCTTGATAGCGGCCGTCATCGTCGTCGTCGTTGTCGGCACCTTTTGCGTCCCTGCCGCCTTTCTTGTCCGTGATGCCGAGCTGAGCCGAACGTTTGGCAACAGCCTCCTTTATTTGGTCCTCGCTAGGTCCTTCTCGCGCCGGGCCAAGATCTGATCGCGTCGTGAATCCCGTCGCACCACGGCCCAGGCCCGCGACATAGTTCTCGGGAGCCGGCTGGCTCAAAAACGACAGGTTGGACATGTTGGAGGTCTCTTCGGGACGTCGAGGCCCAGCAGGGCGGTGCTGCGGAATACAGTGTAGGTAGGAAGTGTTGTTCGCGGCGCGGTGTGTTGTCTGTCTGCCTGCCCGAATCCAAATGTTTCGATTTACGTTCAAGTTGAATCGCAGTCTCCACCTTTCCACACGTCGCGGCCCCACTCGCATCTCGCGTGGCCCGTTGTCAGAATCGATCAAGGTGCAAATGACGTGGGTTTCAAGACAGCACCAGTAGCAAGCATTGCAAGCTCAGGTAGCCCGGTCTCGATTCATACGGATTCGGCGACATGATGCAGTTGGGGCAGTTATGCTTCAATCGAAGTCCAATCCGGCCTTTGTAATATACAGTCCTACCCTCCACGGGCGTGAAAGCGAAGAGCAGAATGGGGGAATTACCGAGAAAGAAAAGCCAACGTCCAGAGGGGGGGAAAAGGTTGACGATTGGAACCATTGCACATCTTCCTATTTTCCACCAAACCAGCCAGAAATGCCACCTTTGGCCTTGGCCGCGCCGTCCTCGACCTTGCGGTCGAACTCGTCCACCTTCTTCATCGCGCCGGCCTTGGCGTCCCTTGCGTAGGCCTCCAGCTTTGCAGCCTCTGCCTTCGCATTCGCCGTCTGGAATAATGCCAGTGGTCAGTATTAGAGCAGCCTATCGGAAATTTCCAAATGTAGACATGGTCGGTTGACTTGGGCGCTCAAGGTGCGCCGAGCAGGGGTTGCTTGCTGGGTCAACTGCATGTCACCAGCGACGGATGTGGGGACAGCTCCCCTGCCCAGCGAAGTGTGCGGGGTGGATGGAAGACATGTCACTGGGGGAGTCGAGGGAAAAGGCCATCAGTCTTACAGCAGTGTCGAACTTGGCACCGGCTTGTGCGCCGAGCTTCTCGGCCTCCTTCTCATACTCCCTTCCGCGTCCTGGAAGCTCGCTCTTGACTTTGGTCGATGCGCTGTGCATGTCGTCTGCTCGGCGAGAATGTACCATGTCAATGAGTCGCTTCACGTCAAGAAACCACCCCCTTCAATAGCTGTGGCGAGAACCTACGCTCGAATTGCTTCTGGGCAACCTTCGTGTTTCCGCCAGACTGGTACAGGTAGTATCCAACGCCGCCGGCGCCGGCGAGACCGAGCATCACGGGGATCCTTGACTTGGACATGTTGGGCGAGTTGTTGCTGGTGACGGCCTAGCTATGGGAGAAGAAGAGATTGCTGGTCGCGGGCGATAGTGGCTTCGTTTTGTTTTGCTGGGAGGATGGAGGAAGGTGATTGGGAATGGAATACACAAGTGACGAAGGGGTGATGGCGGATGGCCTCGGGTCTTTATTAGATCCAGCTAGGTCCACGCACTCCAGGTTGGCATCGATGAGTTAATGGGCAATCAGGTCTGGGACCGGGCAGGCGGCTAGAACAATGGATGGCCAATGTGACGTGCAGAGTCCTCCTTCTCCTCTCCTTACTTTCGTGCCGGTCCAGCATCTCCCGTGGTTGTCGCACCACCAGCTGGGAAAGCTCCCCCCGAGAACCGTCACATTACATCATCGATGCACGTTGGTGGAGAGCTCTCGACCTGGGCACGCGTTTCCGCATGCCGGGAGCGAGCACCGACGCACCACCCACATACCCCTGTTTGCAGCTCATACCTACCAGCTGCCCACTCGCGGTCCACTGAAAACCTGAATGCTCCCAGCCAGCTCGCATTTTGAAGGCACTGAAACAGTTCCTCGTCAAAGCCACATTTTTCCACTTGGAAGGGCGAATTACTGATGCAAAAGAGCCCAGATATGCCGTCCTCCCGCTTCCATGTCCCTTGAATCAAATTAATCGCAGATATTTCTGGTCTAGTGACCAACTGCAGGCGGGCCCTGCATTGTGCCCAGGTGCCCCAGCCCAATCGCCCTGTCTGGCCCGCACTCGGGAGGCTGAGGTAGTTCTCAATTTGGTTGTCGCAGGGTGGCGTCTTGCCCAGACTTTTGTCGCGTCGTCATCGCGCCATCCCCCAACCTGGTTAACCTCATTCGAATTGGGATTGAGGTTCCAGCAGGTGCTTTCTTGGTCATCCCGCCGGTCCAGGGCAGATCTGAATATTGATCGTTGCCAATCCTTCTTGTCCTGCTTCGACTTGCTTTGTTTGTTATTCTGTAATTCTTGCCGCCGCCGGCCCCTGTTATCAGTATTAATCGCGTCCGTTTGTTTCGGCGGTTTGTTGTCGGCCTCTCCACCGGACACCCGCGATGCAGTTGGTGTCTTTGACGCCGCTCTCCAGACAGTTTTGATCCGCCCGATTCCGTGAGACATGACAAAGTCCAGGATACTGAGGCCTCATACGTCGCGACGAGCCTCTATCCCGAAAGACAGTGATTTTGATCACGAGATAGCCCTCGTCGAGGAGGACACCCATCTTGAGAGCAGCGCTAGTCCTGAGCCCGCCGATCCGGGGATTGGACCATCAACACCTTCGGCAGATGCTCCTCCTGCAACCACGGGGAGACGTGCATCCTCTGCCTCCAACCGCCCGCAATCGTCAGATGGCGACCGCCCACTGTCGCCAAGGTCCCATCGGCGCAGCAACGTGGGAGCGAAAGCAGCACCGACAATAGCAGTAGAACGTAAGTCAACTGTCTCTGTCCCTGAGGTGGCATGGGCTCTAATATGTTGCCAAACGGGACAGAACCAACACCCTTTGAGCCAGCAGTTTCGACATTGGCACATCGTGATGGGACAGGCTTCTCACGGGAAGTCAACTCGGCCATCGATATCCTCTACGAAAACGAGCGCGGCGCCCTGTGTTGCGGCCGCCCGCTCTTCGCGTCCCAGGCGCTGGGGAACCTCGATCCCCCTGCTTGGACAAACGTAGCGCACAAGCCGAGTCCCACGGATATCCGAACGGCACAGGTCCCAGACCCCAGCTGGGATTGGGCGTGGCCCGAGTGGCGGGTCAACCACGAGGAGCAGGGCACGGATAAGGATGGATGGGAGTACTCGTTCGCTTTTCACAAAAAGTTCTCATGGCACGGTCCAAAGTGGTGGAACTCGTTCGTCCGCAGGCGCGCCTGGACCCGCCGGCGCGTCAAGAAGGACCAGATCCGCCAGGCTCACGGCGGTAGCCTACTTCAACCTGAGTATTTCACCGTCAGGTCCTCGGCCGAGATGGCTCGCCGTCGTAGCTCCGCCGAGTCTAGTGGGCTAGGCAGCAAACGCGGAAGCATGATGAGCGTCAGTATAGCCTCGCAAGCGACAGGGGGCGCGGACGCCGAAAAGCCTGACATCAGAGACGTCCAAGAGCTGCTGCTGGCCCTGCGAGCCTGCCGCATCGATAGAGAGAAGATCGAGGCGCTGGAGAACTACCTCGAGAACGGAGACGAGGACGATCTCGTCAACCTGGAAGCAAAGATGCCAGAGGTCATGGGCTTCTTCGTCTTTCAGACCTCCCGCCGGCTGTTGGTGCAGCGACTCACCGAACTGCACGATCAAACGCAGGCGGAGGCGGGGCAGCAAAAGGATGAGGCGACAAGATCGAGCAGGGCCGTGGCAACGGAAGAAGCCCTCGCGGCTGCTCTCAGGCGCGCGGACGAGGAAGTAAAACGCCTCGAGTATTGGAGCGATGTTAAGGAGGTGGCCGAGACGGGGCACTCGCACGGTGCTGTCGACGGCAAATGCGGATGGGATGATTCGTGGGAGGGTGTCGACAACAGTGGCCCAGCCGCCCCAGACCCGCAGGCGAAGAAGTAGGACATGATCAACATGATCAGGAAGCTGTCCGCTAATCATTGGATATACTAGTCATATATTGCTGTTATTGTATCCTCGCTGTATGCCCTGTCTACTCATTAATACAGCCAAAAATGGTAAGCAGTATGGGCACTGTGCGGGGTTTCTGCCACATTTGACCGCCACAGAGATGCCCAGCATTCGCGACAGCTCGCGATGAAGCAGCCAATTTTTTCTTCCACTTTGACGACCCCGGTTTTTCTCACTGCCCGCCTCAGACACTGTCCCAAGGTCCAATTCTCACGGGTAACTGTCTCTGGCACAGCAGCCCCCCTCACTCACACAACATGGTGCTCCGGCTATAGCGCTCGTCCCTGGGAATCATGTCAGCATGGGGGACGTGGCGCCAAGCATCGTGCTGGTTCCGGGCTCTCTCGACGATTCCTGGGGGCCCCCTTCCGCTGTCCTGGTCGGCGCCACGGACCCGTCCCAACGGCTATATCTCACCATATTCCACGTCCACCGCCGCACCGGCATCGTCCTCGGTACCGCCGCTCCCTCCCGAGGACAATGGCGTCGGCTGCACGACCACCGATGCGGAGCCCCTGGTTAACCGGGCAGAGACGGCGGTCCCCGCAGCAAATACACCAGCGCCCACAAATCGGCCCAGCATAAAGCCCCCCTTGGCTGAACGCCTGCTGATGGCGCCAATGCCTGCCCACCCCGCGAGGGTGTCGGTCCTTATCGAGCCTTGGAAGCCGCTGCCAGTTCTGACAGAGAGCTACCGCCGCGCGCACGAGCATGTGCGGAGCGTGGTGTCGCAAAGGCGATACGAGGAACGACGTCAGTCCTTTGACAGACCCTTTGCGGACTGGCGGGAGCTTCTACAGCGCATGTTTGACAACACACCGGACCGGGCGAGCTGGAAAGCGGTCTGTCTCCAGGCCGACGCAGAGAGGTTCGACAAGCGGATTCTGTTCAACGACTTGGAGTTGGGAATCCGCCCCATCATGGAGTCAACTGGCTGTGCCATCCGGACCAAGAAGGTGAAGGGTTCGATTATGTCCATCTCTGTCTATGGACCGCCCAGATCCCTGGAGCGTGCTGTTGCCGCGATCCTGGAGACAACCCGGCTGGCGCTGGTCACCAGGGGCCATGATGACTCGACCACCATCGGCATGGAGCCCCATGAGCTCAGCGCCGAGGACCGATCGCATCTGAATAAGGCGGATGCGCAAGATCATTTTGATCTGAATTCACTCATGGCGCTTGATGGGTCGCCCTCTGTGACGCCAACAACAGTCACTCGCACCTCCTTCCTCACCGCGCAGGACGTTCCTAGACCCCAGGCTTGGACCAAGCGGGGTCTCGACGACTACGTGGCTCGCATTACCGATGTGCGCCTCGAGGAGCTGGCACGGGGTATCCCGGGTTGGCGGACCCACCATGTGTCTGCCGTCTCGGCCCTGCTGCTCGACGTCTTTCACAGCCACGATGCGCGCGCATCGATAACGCTGCAAGCCACACACAAAGCACTCCGCTACCATGTCCGGCACGGAATGGCACTGCGCCAGGAGATGATGATCCTCTTCGACTTGATCACTAATACGCTGGGGCTCACGCCTTCGACAGAGACCTTCAATATCATACTGGGTGGCTACGCCCAGGCAAAGGATCTCTGGGGGTTCGAATGCATGGTGCGATCGATGGAGGCTCATTCGTGTATGCCAAACTTCCGCACGTGGTTATACATGATGTCTATGATCGAGAGCGGTCAAGTCAGACAGTATATCCTGGGGATCATGCGCTCCAAGGGCATGCTCGGCTCGCCGTCTGTCGCCCGCGAGCTGGCAAGGCTCAACGCCGTCCACCACGCCCGCGTAGCTATGGAGACTGAGCCCCCCACAAGTCTGCGGGAGTTCCTGGACTACCAAGACCAATTATACGGCGAGCGAAAGCTGTGGCTAACTCTATCGGTCGCCAACCAAACGATTGACGTATTCTGCCAGTATGGACGTTTCCAGGAAGCGTTCGCGCTCGTCAAAAGGATGCGCAAGGCGGATCGTCCCGCCCAAGAGCACCCTGATATAATCACCTACACCACCATATTGGGACACGCCAAGACCCAGAGGCTAGTGCGTGTCGGTCTGCTCGCTCTAGAGCGCCTGGAGCGGGCCCGTCTGGTGCCCAATGAGATCACCTACCATTTGCTCTTTGAGATGCTCTGGAAAGCCCGTTTGCCGCTGGCTGTCGGTGTGGTCTGGCACTACGCGGCCCTGACTCTGGGCTCAATGAGCTACCGAATGCGCCGCCGGGTCGGGGATGTGCTGCACGCTCTGGCCCACGAGGAACCAACCGCCGAGGGAGGAGGCGTCGTGGCCAGGTGGGCGAGGCTGAGATCTCTCGCCTCGCTCGTGAGCGCCCTGCCAAGCCCGGAGACGCTACCCAGGCCTGACGGCGACGGTCGAGAGCCTCTCGATATACTGTTCGCCCAGGAGTATGCTGGCTACAAGCCTGAATCGTCGCTCAGTCAACTATTAAAGTCGGCGCTCGAGGCGGACTGGCAGCACCACCGAGAATTCGCGGCCGGCGGCTCTGATGCTGCCACCCCGCAACGGAGAACAATCGACCTAGTCCTTAGACGCACGCCTACGGTCCCCGCAACAAAGGCGCCCAAATCAACTGAAACGATAGTCCTCACGGCGGATTATTCCTCTCTGGGTGGACGACGGCAGAGCACCCACGTTTTATAGGTGGCCACTCTGCGCTTGATTCGCATCAAGCAGAATTCGTGGTTCACGATGACATGTACAACATCAGCATAGAGCATGTAATGTAGAAACCAAGATAGACGTCATCTATAAGAAAAAAAGGCATGATTTGTATATACACATGTACAAAGCCAGTGCCAGCCTGCACAACATTTGATTCTCTGCCCCACACTCAAGGCTCTGGCATTCACTTAACCGGCAGATAAAAGTGTCGGGGTGGTTTCTAACTGGCGGATGTGCCCTTTGAGGGTGTACATGTTAGATCTCGTGCGCGAAAAGATGACGTGGGAGGCTACTACCTACCTACCCACTTTGATGACAGCTGGCGAATATGGCACACGAGTGCTTGGCCCTTTGGAATGACGACATTGAAGATACTCACTACAGCCTACTATGCGGTGTAACCAGTTCAAGACACCAGCGCCATCCCCAAGACTTTCCTCTGGCAAAAGGAGGTTTAGGTGAATAAAGCTAGACTCTGTTCTTATGGGTACTCCCGTCTCTAGAAAGCCATGCCTGAACCGACACCCCTCAACAGTCTCAACATGCCAGATGTCGCGCCTCCCCCGCTGAATACCCATCCCGCCACGGCAGATGAGGAACAGGGAGGTCATGACATCGCAGAGTTTCTCTGGTGCCGACAACTCGCCGCCACACTCGCCCGCCCGGGCAGAACGCGGAACTTTCTACATAGCCTGGCTGCCTAGGCACCCTCACAACCGTGAAACTTTTGACTTCCTGCTTTTTGGAATGGACGGTACCGACAGGCAAAGAAAACAACAAGACGGTGCTTCCTTGCCGGCAATCCGTGCGAGTGTCACTGTAGTCCCGTCATGCGATGCGCAAAATGGACAGAGGGAAATAACAAGAATAAAATGACATGGGGCGGAATTGTTCGTGATTCGACATCGGGGGTGATGGACCGTTTCGTTATTACTCTAAAGGCCCGAAAGAGTGCAGCCAAAGCGGGCAGCCAAAGCCGCACGTGCTGGGTGAGGGTTCAAAGAGGATGTAGGAAGGGGCGATGTTTTGTCGCGTGGGAGGGGGAAGCATGACCAAGGATATATTCGACAAACGACCAAACCCCAGGAATCGTACCAAGCAGAGAGCCAAGAGGAGGAGGGGAAGGTAGATCGAACAGAAAGGTTGGGGGAATACACGCAAACCGGACATGAAAAGGTAAGAAAACAAAGCCAGAGAAAGCATAGGAGTCGCAAGCGAGAAGGCCTTCCGACAATTAACAGCTGTAATCACGCTGCGGCCTTGGTGGACTTTGACTCGGCCTGGGCCTCGGGCTCTCTCCGCTCCTCCTCCTTCATCTGCTTTACCTCGGCCGGCTTTGCCTCGGAACTAACGCCAGCGTCTGGCTTGGCCGTCGACGTCTTGTCGTCGGCGCTGTCTGCAGAACCCTCCTTCTCCGTGGTAGGGGGAGACTTGGCGACTTGGCTGTCGAGATCCTTATCCTCCTGGTCGAACATCTCCGTGTCATCCGTGTCGGTAAGCACCTCGGTCCCATCGCCGAGGAGGATGACGTTCCCCCGGTAGCCTCCCAGCCCAAAGCTCTTGCCCTTGGAGTGGTCCATGTCGACATCGTACCCACTGTCACTATCATCAAAGTTGTGATGAACGCCAGGTCCTCGGAATTCAGCTATAAACATCATAGGGTATTATCAGTAACAATACTTGAGCCGGGGCAGCGGACGACTAGGGGCGGGGCGGATCTTCTCCCGGCTGTCCCGGCAAAAGCAATAAAACAACAGGGGAATGAAGAATAATGTGAATGGATAATGGCGTGAGCGGAGAAGATCTTTCAAGACGATGAGTCCGTACCATATTCTGGGGGAGCACAGGGGCCGTCGCCATTCGCAACCCTCCTCGCAATCTCCTCGTACCACTCTTCCTTGGAGCGTCCGCGCAGGAAACCGATGATTACCATGGTCATGTTGTCACAACCAACACCCCCAGTCTCCGAGTTGGAAGCCAGGCAGTTGTCCATCATGTTTTCGCAGATCTTCTCCAGGTCCTGCTTGGCTGCGATCCCCCGCCGAACAAACTCAACAACCGCCTGCGAGGATTGACAGTCCCAGATACCTGCACCAACCAAGACCCTGTCAGCGCACAGATACCCCACCAAAAAAAACCGGCAGCCCTGCGGATGGCGCGGAACCATGGCTCTAGAACTCACCGTCGCAAGCAATGACGAGGAACTCGTCGTCGTCGCCCATGTCGTGGACAACAACATCGGGATAGGCAGTTACTATCTGCTGCTCCGGCGCCAGCTCTGCACTCTTCTTGAACTCGAAGTCACCGATGGCGCGCGAGAGTGCGAGGTTGCCGTTGACACGACCGAAGTCGACGAAGCCACCAGCGGCGGTAATGCGCGCCTTTTCACCTGTCGAGAGCGAGGGCGGGAGAGGTTAGTGACTCGAGTATGCGGCACGGCGCGGAGACGCTCGACTTAGGCTCGGGCTCATTCGATCGGATATCGAACGGGCGAAGCGTGATGCGGGACAACGTACCCTCGTTCTGCGGCTTGTGATCGAACGACAGGGGCTTGGCGCGGCCTTTGACACCAAGCACGCTCCTCGAGTCCCCGGCATTGGCCTGCAGAACGGTTAGCGGGCCAGATAGAAATGGAGAGGAACGGGGGAAACAAAATCCGAGCGATCCGGCACAGCACAAGTTAGTGAATACTGACGATGTAGATCTTGTCGTCGGTTATAAGGCCAACGCAGGCTGTGCAGCCCGAGACCTCCTCTTCGTATTTGGGGTCTAATGCCACGACCTCCATGTCAGTCAACAGCCCACCTCGATCACCAGCAGTCACCCTTGCCCTTGCGAAGGTCCGGTGTTCTTTCGTTCGTCGTGTGGGGATTTCCCCCCATCTCTCGTACCGTTGAGGATAGCGCGGTCGGTGGCAAGGAAGCCGTCTTTCAGCGCCTGCTCGTAGTTGCCAGTCTTGAAGGTGTCCTGGTTCTGGACGATCTTGTGGATGTTGTCTCCAGCGAATAGGGCCACCTTGTCGCCGCCATGACCGTCGAACACGCCGAAGAAGCTCAGCTTGCCCTTGTGTTGCTTCGAGGCCTCGGGAGTGGAGGCGAGGAGGTCAAGCACGGTTGTGTGAGCGTCCTCCATGCTGATACGCCATCCTTGCATGGCAGAGACGCCATAGATGAATCGTTCATCCTCGCCGTGGGCCGATGCCTATTGGGGGGAGAGGACCGAAGTCGGGGTCGTGGTCAGCGCGCGCGGCGTCCAAAAGAGGCAAACCCGCAGAGGGGCAAGGCGGGGGTAAAGAATTCGATGACGAATAGCCAGCCAGGCCCGCCGGCGCGGTGCACCGCCGTGGCGATCGCGAGAGACTAGACCGGAGCCGACCACGGCGGCGCGGGGCAGTTGGCCGGGGTTCGACGGCGGGTTGGATAAGGGCAGCATTGTGGAGGCTACAGCCCGAGGCCAGGGTTGCGGTGGTGTGGTCTGTAGTGACTGGGGCCCCAGGAAACGACAGCGCGCGCAGGGCGGGCGCAGCGGCGACACACACGACATCTTGGCACGCACCTTCTCAACGACGGGCTCTGAGAGCGTTTGTCCCATTCTGGCGATCTGTTTGCGATGGCTCGTTGGGCGACCGGGGCGGGAGGGAGGGTTGGAGGTGTGGTCTGGAAGGGGGGTGGGATGTGTTCACAGTCTGGCTCGACACCCGAGGCAAAATTTTCCCGTGAGAGTTGGGAGACAATGACGTTGGAACGGGAGGTCTCGGGGCTGGATTGGCTGAGAGCAGAGAGGATGGCTAACGTTGGGGGCGCCAGCGGGTGGCCCTTGCTGAGGAGTTGTGGCAGGTTGTGTTGCTTGCCAAACCTAGCACGGGATCTTGCGAAAAGGCGCAGCCTCGACGTGAGCGGAAAGTGAGGGCGGGGTTCAACTGAGGCGCTGGGCCTGGCAACCTGGGAGTGTGGGCCCGTGAGGGTCAGGGCAGTGGAGGGCTTGTCTGGTTGCGGCGGCCTGGGCCTCGTCGATCCCAGGTCAGTCAGTCGCTGGCTGCGGCGATTGGAATACGGTGGATGAGGCGCGGGGTTGCTGGCACGCGACAGTAGACAAATCGCATCTCAGGGGACACACGGGAGAGGCAGGCAATGATATCAGTAGAGTGACATGCGGATGGCTGTGAAATGCGATACAGGCGAGCGGGATAGTAAAGAAAAGATGCAACAAAGGGTGGTGGGAATCAATGGAATGCGTGCTGTCTGGTGCCATGCAAGAGCTTATTCCTGGCCCTGTCGCGCCGCAGGTACCTGTACCCTGGGCACATTGACTGACTGCCCGACTGTTGCACAGGCGGGCTGCCCAGGCGCCCCTCTAGTGGGCGGCCGGGCCTGGAAGCCTTGTCGCTGGCGGCTCGCCTGCCTGGGGCTGAGCCACATTGTGGCCCAAGCTTCTTCCTCCATTGCGCCTTCTCACTGGCGCCCACCACTCTGCCCTTGCCCTTTTTACCCCTCAGCTCCCTTGGGTGGTTCCCCGCCGTCCAGGCCCGGCAGTCCAATCCATCGAGTTTCTGCAAAAGAGCATTTCATAGGTGGCCTCCCACTCAGCCGGCGCGTCCCCAGAGATTGGTTCCCAGATCGCATTTCGCGCGGCATTAGCCACATTTGCCTGAAGCGCTTCGTGGCGTTTCCAGATTCCAAGGATGGGTATCTGATTGGCTATGGGCACTGAGCAGGCGGACATCAGACTTTTCTATTGTTGTCCGGAGCTGACCGGCCAGGAAGGACCAACTCCATGCCAGATCCAAATCAGGACCCTCCCACCATAAAATCACGGAAACAGACCAACACGCGAGCAGGGTTCATGCGCGTTAAGCAAATATCGAGAGCGTTATAGAAGCATTACAGATACAAAAACTCAAATATATGAGGCAGAAAACCAAATGCGGAAAGAAGCCAAAAGTACGAAATGAAGATTGGAAAACAACAAGCTCGGTCAACCCTTTGCCTACCTAAATACATACAGCCAGCAACAGAAGCGGAAGAATCATGTCAGATAAAAATAGCGAAATCATTGTCCCCCGAACCCAGGCTGGACCCCTTGGACAGTTCGCACTGGCCCGAGAGGCCGTCCCCGGCCGTTGTCTCGCCAGCAGCCTGCCCTCTCAACATGGAATAGCGCGACACTCGCTTCAGGTCCCTGGCCGGCACGGGCGGCGGTAACGGGGAGTCGGCCGCCGCAACGTTCGGCACCGTGTCCTGACCGTGCACCGTCTGCCAGTCCGTCCCGTCGCTGACGGTGCTGCTCCCGTCGCCGCCGCCGCCCTCCCCGTTGGCGTCGCGCACCACCCACTCGTTGACGACAGCCGACGCGTCGTCGTCGTCCGCCGGGTGGATCGTCCAGTTCGGAATCCCGCCGCCACCGCCGGTCCTGAGAGGGGTCGGCGACGACAGCGACGACAGCGACGAGACCGTCTGGGCCCCCGCCACCGACGGCGTCGCCGAGCGGCTCGCCGGGACGCGGCGCGGGGTCGCGAACGGGTCCGCCGTCCTCGAGAAGCGCGCCAGGGGCGACGAGGGGGACTCGGGCTCGAAGTCTTGGTCGCCGTCCCCGCGGCTGTGCGGCAGATCCCTGAGCCGCCCCGAGCCGCGGAGGCTGTTGGTCCCGTCCGAGCCCTGGCCGCGCCGGCTCACGGGGAGCGACGACGGCGCGCGGACAGACACCGCCGCCGGGCGGGGGCGGTCGATCATGCCTGCCGCCTCTCTCGTCTCCAGGGGCGACGCCGACAGGTCTAGTTCCGTCGTGTCTGCGCTCCTCTTTAGGCTCTGGATGAAGTCGGCAGCTGTGGTGCCCTTGTGAGCGCCAAATGCCCGAGATAGGCGCCTCTTCCCGACCCCGAGCGAGCCGGCCATGGAGGGCGGTCTTGAAGACGACGGCGCATCCGCGCCCGGCATCTGGCGGCGCTTGGATTCTGGTGTTTGCTGTATGCTGTCGGCATTGCTCAAGGTCGGTATGTCCACCTCGATATTGCCGCGGAACGCCCCGCTAGCGACGGTGCTCCCGGGTAGCGGTGCGTAAAGGCTTTCGAAGTGCCTCGGTTCGTCGTAGAAGCTTGTGTCCGAAAGGTAGCTCTTTGTCTTCGACTTGCGAGACTTCCTCCCGGCAAGCGCCCTGGCCATGCTCCAGGCGCCGCCGCCTCTCCCATGCGCAGAACCAACATCATCTGGTACGGGCGGCACCGGGATTGCGTTGTGGTTTCCCCTCAACCCCAAGCCGGCAGGGGCCGAGGCTGGGGCTGGGATGTTGCCACCCGCTTGCTCGGGCATTGTGGGCGTCCGAGGGAGTGTGTCGAATTGCGCGTTCAGGTTTTGCAACGACGAGTTTGAGTAGGCCTCGCCGTTCATGACGTAGCTTCCCGGAACAGGGCCCGAGATGTCCCTGGCTTCCAACCTGCGTGACGACCCTTTGCGCCGCCTGCGACAGCAGATGCAGATTATGACAAATGCTACGAGCAGAAGGGACACAGGCACAAGGATGGCCGGAAGGATTATGGCAAGCCGTGGCGAGTTTGCGCTCGAGTTGCCCACCGCATCCGCTGCCGGGTCAGGCGCATCAGGGGCGCTTGTAGAGGGAGATGCGGGACTCGTGCTTGTGGTCTGGTCCGTAGGGGTAGGAACCTCGGACCGAGAAATGCTGACCATCAACGCTCTTTCGTCGATGGGTCCGGTGCTGCCTACAGCCCTTGCTTTGAGCAGGATGGTGGATGTGAAGGGATTCCTTGGGGCATCACCAGAGATTGTCATGGTCTCGGGATCGTATCGAACCCACTGGGCCCGTGGCTGCATCTCGAGTTCTATCTCAGTCTCGGACGGCCTCCAGAGGTAAGGCTTTAAGTCGAGTAGTAGTTGGGAGCCTGCCTTGAGTGTGATATCTTTCAACGGGCTTCGAAATAAGTCAGTGGCCATATTGACCTGTACAGTGATGTTGAGTGCGTTTTCATACGCATCTTTGAGGATCAGTGGAAAAGCTGTGGACTGAGCATTTGTAGGTGGTGTTCCCTTGAATTCGAGATTGCTCTTGTCAAACGTGAGCCATGGGGGGATGCCCGGAGCTGATGTCGAGGCGATATCTACTGGGTTTGCCCCCTGCCCATCAATCTTGATTTTGCCCTTCAAGTCAGAATTTGCCACAGGCGTTCCCGAGGTTGCGTTGATGATTATCGTCGGATTGGTCGCCGTCAGTTGATGGTTTCCGACCACGACGGAGAACGATACCGAGAGAGCCGAGAATCCTGGGACGTCGGAAGCTACTAGCTTGAACCCAAATGTTTGTGGAGGCTCTACCAAGGAACTGAACGGAGGCGTCCGCCCAGTGAAGGCGAGCTTTTCGGGGTCGAACGAGATCCAAGCCGGGAGCGGGCTGTTGTCGGCAGTGACGGCGTAGTACTCGAGGTCGGTTCGCGAGAAGGTCCTGGAGGAGAAGGCGAAGCTGAAAGGCCTCTCTGGGTACGAGAGCAGCGATGACGGCTGCGAAAAGGGGCCGAAGGTGGGGACTTGTTCGGCTGATGGGATCAGCACCTCCGGCGACGGCTGCTTAGAGACTATCAGGGTTGCAGAATGAGTTGTCGATCCGGTTCGGTCAGTCGCGACAATCTCTATCGGAACACCAACTACATCACCACCAGACGTGACATCGGCCTCCTTCGGTGTTCCGAAGAGTCGTCGGGCCTTGCCGTCGATGGACAGCCACTTTGGGGCCTTGAGAAAAGAGTAGGTTATGGGCAAGTCAGAGGTGAACGTCGAGCTGGAGAAGATGAAAGAGAAAGGCTCCGAGATGCGCGCGACCGGAGGCACCTGGGAGTTGATCGGAAAGGAGACAGAAGGAGCAGCGCTGGCGAAGCCCGTCAGAAGCAGCACTAGACCTAGGCGCACGAGCGACGCCATCTTCCCGGACGCGATAGGGTTCTCGTAGAGGAGGTTTTGCGAGCGCTCATGGAAGATGCAGAAACAGAAACAAGAGCGAGCGAGGGCGAGGCTGGTCGGAAAGAAGGTGGCGGCGTGCTATCAAAACACATTGGCTGATCGAACGGTCTAGGAACCGGCAGCTCTCACGGAAGCGTCAAATCTGAACCGAGAGCGATGTTCATCTTTCCCCAGACGGGGCTGGAAGGCTGGCATCATTGCCGAGGGGTCTAGGTCGGCTCGTCAAGGTCGGGGAGCAACAATTAACACACCATGTGGAAATAGGGCACATTCCAATGGGTGGCAGAGCCTCTGAGACAGCACCTCATGCCTCCGTCATCTTTGGCCACTGCCTGGCGAGGGAGCAGTGGAAAATTTGAGACGAGCCCTTCAATAATGGGTTCTGACTTGGCAGGGCGATGGCTTCAACGCAAGCGAAAGGGGAAGGCTTACGATTTATCCCGAGAGACACTACCCGAATTTTCAACGGCAACCAATTGGCACTGCCATGACTCTCTTGAATCGGACAGGGACAGTTGAAAGAAGGCCTTGTAGGCATTGTAACCTGCCTTTTTTTTTTCTCACCCTGTCGCCTACTTCACGCCAAGGGCGCGTGCGATCCGAAGCCGTGATATCGGGACCAGAGACGACGGTCACTCGACGGATACAGACTTCTGGCGCGTGGACCGTATAGAACTACCACGTTTTCCACACGAAGTACCCCAAGACCAAGAAGCCTAGATACGGCAACAGAACGTAGCCAACGGAATAGAAAGGCATGCGGGAATGAGATTGGGAGAAGGGATATTCTGATGATGAAAGGTCGATGGATGGAAAGAAGGGGTAGGAAATGACGAGGTGACCTGGTCCCGTTTGGATCGGGCGGTTGTGTGCTTCGAGAACGGTCTTTGTGACTCGCCGCCGGCATTTTTTGGGCAAGTGCTCTTTCGAGGCCCAAACCCGCACGCGGCGGCTCCAGAAACCCCAAAAAAAACCCCCAATTTCATCACAAACCAAAAACCCGACCACAGGAGCAGCAACGAAAGCGAACTGCACCATGGCAATCGACAGCAGTCGGCGGTCGGAATCGCCCGAGTTCTCACCGCTGGCCATCGACGCCGACCTGACCCCGCTGCCAGAGTACAAGGAGGCGGGCACGACGACGCTCGACTTTGACGGCCTGCTCTCGGCACCGCTCCAGCTTCACGAGGACCTCAGCTCGGGCTGCGGCGGCCAGCTGTGGCCGGCGGGCATGGTGCTCGCCACGCACATGCTGCGCTACCACCGAGACAGGCTCGCTGACGCAAGAATGTCCGTGAAATGAGCTTTTTTTTTTTTTTTCCTCCCCTCCCCTGTGCCTCGCCACCACCACCCGCCCCGCGCCCCCGCATCGTGGGATTGGGCGGCGACGACAGGGCCGCCACGACCTCCAGCTCGCTCAAGTGGGAATTGCAGAGGCAAGCGGCCGGGTTGATGGCGAGCGTGGAAGAAAAAAAACACTGGGCGCAAGAGTGTGAAGTTGACGAGAGTGGGGAGAGGGTGGCCGGCCGTGCACGCACATGCAGACTCGAGCTGGGCGCCGGAGGCGGCCTCGTCTCGCTCGCCGTGGCGCGAGGGTGCCAGGACATCAAAACCCAAATCCTCGTCACGGACCAGGAGGAGATGTTTTCTCTGATGGAGCACAACATCCGCCTCAACGGCGTGGAGGCCCGTGCCAAGGCCATGTTGCTGAACTGGTACGCTTGCCCTTGGACCGCCATCATTTCCGCCAGTCGGCCGTCCATTCCACCTCCCCTCCTCCTTGCCCCCGTCTCCCCGCCCTGCGTGCACTTTCTCTTTCCCCCAGATGTTGTGAGCCCGGTGGAAGGCATGTAGAGCGAGAGGTGCAGCGGGCGGTTGCTTCTGCCACGTTTTCCCCCATCATTTGCGGCATGATTTCCCCGCCCAATAACGACCGTGGCTGCCGCGATGGCTGCATGAGAAATGGAACAATGGCTTGCTGACAAGACGGGGCGACATGGCGGCGGCGGGGTCGCACTGGGCCTGCCGCCTTCCGCATCCATCTTCCGGATTTCCAATCAGGGGCGAAGAGCTCCCGCAAGAGGTCGTCGAGAGTCGGCCGAACGTGATTCTCGCTGCCGATTGCGTCTACTTCGAGCCAGCATTCCCGCTGCTGCAGAAGACCATGGCGGACCTGCTGACGCTCTGCCCGGAGGCGACCATATACTTCTGCTTCAAGAAACGCCGCCGGGCCGACATGCAGTTTCTCAAGAAGGCGCAGAAGTTGTTCTCGGTCGTCGAGGTCGCGGATCAGGCCCGCCCCGTCTTCAGTCGTGAGGGCCTGTTTCTCTATGCCATATCAAGCAAGCAGAGGCAGCAACTTGGCGGTGGCGGCGGGAAAAATACGGGGAATCAATAGCTCAGTTACGTCAGGATGTCGCCAGCCGTCTGTGGTGGGTTGAGCTCTCATTTTGTCATGTTGTGCCCCTCGGATTTACCTGTTTTGATGCGGAGAGCCAAGTCCCATCCAGCACCTTCTCGATCGCTTGGCGGGTTTGCCAGCTCCCGCAGCGAGGAGTGGAACTTACCTAATGGCATCCATCCCCAGCAGCAAAGCAGAATTGCGTTTCCTGCTGTTGGTCTTTGCCACACAGATGGAGCCCAGTCAACCAGTGAGCCCATTTCTCCACGTCGCCATTCCTCATGAAGCACGACTCGGTCCAGCCTGCCGGCCCCGATTTCGACGGCGGTTCCCCTGTCGTATTCCCCGCCCGGAAGGGCGGTAGTGTCTGCATGGGGACGTGTCCTTCGCGACTTGTGACGCCCGAGTGATGGATGGCAGGTGGAGGCGAGAGGGAGGGTGTGCATAGGACGGGCATAAAAACAACGCAAGTGCACAAAACAGGACATCAGGGAAAGTGTGGTGACTCGGCGGCGCGCCAGAATATTACGAAACATCCATCCTCGTCCTGCTCACCCTTCCTAATGTCGTGGCTCTGGCGACCGCGTTTCGCGCTACCGCTAGAACAGTCGAGGGCGGCGCTGGGGCGTCGGTAAATGACAGCGCTGCGGGTTTTCATCCATCACCCGTAGCAGCACTGTGGCCTCACACTATGTGCGCATTTTTCTATTTGGTGGCGTGGCTTGAGCCAAACTCCGCGGAAGCTTCCATCCAACGGCTGCACTGCCAACTTCCCCGAAGGACGTCGGTGTCGGTGTCGGATATCCGTCCACAGGAGCAAAAAAGCAATGTGAGATGTCTGCCTCGACCGGTGCTTGAACGTGCCTGAGGAAACGCATGAGAAAGCCAAGCCGGGTTGCCATGTGCGCGTTTTGTTTCCCTGCCCCTCTTCATTCCCAGGCGTCCGGCACAGAGTTCGTCCAAGGTCGGCAACAAAATGGCACATGGCTCCTCCCAGTAGCAATCCACCGTCCCTCCTATGCCAGCCGAACCTGCCGAAGGGTGGTGGGTGGATGCCGTTGGGTGGGCCGACGGTCTCGAGTTGGAGGCCTGTCCTCGCGACCAATTGGCTGGTGGCAGTGGGGGCCTGTTCTCCGTCGTTCTGTCCCCGTTCCCGCTGTTCCTGTGTTCCTGTGCCTTGCAGCTGGGCTGCCCAAAACCCTGAGCGCCAGCCAGCCTTCTGCTGCAGGGGCAATGGCCCGGGGGGCGGCCCAGCACAGCGAGTGAGCGAGGGTTTCGTTTCTTGCTCCTGCAGTCAGCAGGCAGCGGCGTCTTTGTGCGGGCCTTTCTTTTTTTAAACCCTCACGCAACTTTCGGCATTTACAATTCTCGTGGGACAAAGCTGTGCCCCCCGTTTTCGGGCCCCTGCCGAGAAAGCCGAGTTTTGCGCTTTTTTTTTCCTTCTTCCTTTTCCTTGCCCTTCTCCTTCTTCCTTCGGTTTCTTCTGCGGCCGTTGCGAATGTTGTGCGTGTGTGTGCGTGCGAGCTCCGCAACGGGCGTCAGAAGAAACTTGACAGCGCATTCCCCCTGGCTGGTCCCACCCTGGGCAATGACCGCTCGTCCAATCGCGGAGGCAGGAAGGATCGTGGTCCAGGGCCCAGAGGCACGAGCCAGGAACGGAACAAAGGGCTGGACCTCCAGTGTGAGGAGGGAAAAAAAGATAGCAACGCAACGTTGGATCACTGTGCCCTGCGCCCCCTCCTTGAGCTTTGAGTTGTTTTCCCCCATCTAAACTCGTACCGCTCCCCTGGCGGCCCGCCCTTGGTTCCCACCTTGGCCGGACGAGGGTGATGGCGCTGGGCCCACCCCTGGCCTTTGCGTTTGCGCTCGCTGGGCCTCGCCGATCTGAAGCAGGGCTAGGGCGGCTGGGCGGCACGCAGGCTGCAGGGCCGGGCTCCAGCTCCTCAATTTTTTCTTCTTTCCCTCATTGCGATGCGCGCGCTGAGCTGGCCCCTGGCCCGGCTGGTTTCCCAAGGCAGAACAAGACAGAGGGCCTCCGGCCCCACACGCCACCTTTTTTTGCGCAGCCCACTCACACAACCCGAGCGGCACCGTTTCTGGGAACGCAACTCTGGGAACCCATGTCAGGTACCAGAGCTGGTTCCTGGGAGGCGTCGTCGCCCAGCCCTCAGCTTTCTTTAAATCCCTCCTGGTCCAGCTCTTTCATCTCCCCCAGTTTCCCCACCACGCACGCTCCCTTCGCTCGTCTATCGCTTCCCTTTGCTCCCTTTCTTCCGGCTCTGGTCGGGGTTCTTTAACCCAGCTCCCATTCATTCTTTTTTTGTGCCCTTGAGCAGTGCTCGCCAGACATATCCTGTCCCTCACATCGACATCGCCAGCCACATTACACATTCCTTCTTCTTGGAACATCGCTCCGCAGAAGCCCACCCCAGTCGCTAACACCGCCGCCCAAGCAACAGCCAGTCAAGAAGGAACAGCTGTCTCAGCCCAGCCCTTCCCTACAAACACTCATTTCCGGAATACGGGAGCCAAGCAAGCCGTCGCCGCCTCACTTGGAGACGCACCTGCAAAAAGGACAAACAGTCCCATATACTGCCCTCTGCCTTCATTTCTCGGGTCACACACCAAGTCGCAGCTTTAGACATCGCAATGAAGTCTACCACCTTTTACCTCTCGGCCGCCGCCCTGACCTCGGCCGCTCTGGCCCAGCCTCACCGGCACCACAACCATGCTCGCTTCCACCAGGCCCACGCTCGTGACGCCGCCAACAAGCCTGTCGCCGCTGCCCCCGCCGTCGAGAAGCGTGACCTTGTCACCGACTGGGTCACCGAGTGGGTGACGGAGACTGTCACCGAGTACTACGATGTGACGGCCACCAGCACTGTCATCACCACCAGCGAGACCCCTGTCACTACATCAACTCCGGCCGCCGTTCCCAAGAGCAGCACCACCCTTGCCGCTCAGTTCTTCGAGCCTTCGTCCAAGTCCGCCCCAGCCCCGGTTGCGCCATCCTCGTCTACTCCGGCCCTGGAGGTGAAGCCGCCCTCCCAGCCCACCCAGGCGCCCCCTCCGCCTCCGGCCGAGGTGAAGCCGGCCCCCCAGCCCACCACCCCTGCCGCGGTTGTTGTGCAAAGTGTCGCTCCTGTTGTCGTCGTCCCATCGCCAGCCCCTGTTGCAGAGAAGCCCGCGCCTGCACCAGTCTCTCCCCCGGCAACTGGCGGCGGCGGCTCTTCGTACACGGGCGAGGTCACCCACTACACCGTCGGCCTGGGCGCCTGCGGCTTCGACGACGCCGGCAAGGACAGGTCCGACTACATCGTCGCCCTCTCGCACAACCTCATGACCAGCGGCTCCTGGCCCGACGCCCAGTGCGGCAAGAAGGTCACGCTCTCGTACAACGGCAAGTCCATCACGGCCGATGTCCGCGACAAGTGCCCCAGCTGCAGCCCCTCGCAGATCGACGTCAGCGAGAAGGCTTTCCTCGACCTCTTTGGCGATCTTGGTATCGGCCGTGCCCGCGGCGTCAGCTGGACCCTCTCCTAAGTGGCCCGCTCATCTTGGCAAAGGGGGCTGGGTTCTCCGGCGCCGGGTCGTGTGGTTGTGTAAATGCGCCAGCAGTGCGCAATTTTCCCTCTTCTTCATCCGTCGGGGCATCTGCGATGGCGGGCGTTGTTGCTTCTCAGGATCAGAACCATCAGCGTCCGCATCGTGAGCCCGGATTTTTTGTGACGACCCCTTTTCGCCTTGCAACGGCCTCCCGAGATGCTTTGTCTCGTGGCGGGTTTGACGAATTTACTTGAAAGAAAAATTTCCACGGTGCTGTGCCTGGGCAAGCCAACAGCATTTCCCTCACAGTTATGCCAGACTATACCCTACCATGACGGCGCTCGTCAGTTGGAGTCCACGCACAGGTGGCCCTGGTCCAATAGGAGAATGTGGTACTTTTTGTGTGATTTTTTTTTTTGTTGT